CCAAACACACCATCCTCCTCCTCCTCGTCTGTACCACCTCTCCCTCTCTTCATCCTCCCTCTCATTCGTGGGCGGCGATTGGATCATCACGTTGACAGCAGTGGTGGAAGGAATGAGCATGGACACCACCACCTCGTGTCCACGCACACTGAATGCTGCCTCTGTTGGTTGATTTGTCCTCCACCAAACGATTCGCATCTCCGTGTCTATGCGGTGAGGAGTAGTGTGAGGGATGGGGTGGAGAAATGGAGAGGAGAAGTGAGAAGAAGACGGTGGGAGGGGTGAGATGGGTGCGGTGCAGAGAGGGATGGGGTGGAGGGGTGTCAGCATTGACGTGTCCAATGTTGGCGAATAGATGTGTTGTGGTGATGCGTTGGTGGGACATTAAGTAATCGCCATCTGACCTGTTGGCAATGCGGAAGTGCATAGGGTTTAGCAACTCCATAGAGAGGGAGGGAAGAAAGAGGACAGAGGTGAAATTGTTGGATGTGTGAGGTGTTGGTGTTGTGGTTACAGGATGGTGGCAGCGTCGTCTCCTGTGGTCGGCAAGAAGGAGGAGAAAGATGGGCGGTGAGGAGAGAGGGAGGGAGAGGGAGGGAGGAGGGAGGGAGGAGGGAGGGAGTAAGGGAGGAGAATGTAAAGGGAGAGAGAAGGAGGAGGTGTGTAAGGAAAGAGGGAATGAGGGAGGAGTGGGAGGTGATAGGAAGGAGTGATGGTGATTGGTGTTGGGGAGTAGTCAGGATAATAATGTGAAAATATGGAGTTCTATGAAGGTGGAACACGCATTGTTGCAGAGGCCACGAAACTGTAGTGGCATGGAGAGGATAACTGGTGATTGTGGGTGGAGGTGTGGCATGGAAGCAGTCGCGTCATCAACGTGAGGAATGAAGGAGGTGTGAGTGAGGGAGAGGTAGAGGGATTGTAAGGTAGGTGTTTGAAGGATGCATGGGCAATGAAGAGGCAGGCATTTTAAGTGGACATCATGAAAAGTTTACGCGATTGTGCATGCTACATTGATTACCCAACCACAGTAATTACAGAGGCAAAAGTGTTTATGTTGCCTTTGATTTATCTCCACCCTCTCCTCCTCTCCTCTCCTCTCCTCCCCGTCATCCTCCTCCTCCTCCTCCTCCTCCTCTCCCTCGTCGATTGCTGCCGTCGGGGAAGCAGAATTGTGCGAGCCAAGCCAGAGAGCAGTAATGCTGTCTCGTGCGTGTGTGCGTGTTCGTGTGTGTGGGTGTGCGTTGGTGTGCACGTTGAGGACGGGGTAGTGGCGTGGAGTGGAAGTGATAGGGGGGAGAGTTGCAGCTGATGCGTGATGGTTGAGGGTGGTGAAGGAAGCCACGGCAGAATCGAATTGGATGGAAAGGTGTTTGGTCATGCGTGCAACCGTAGGAAGATTGTGGGTTGGTGAGATGGTGGAGGTGAGTGTGGAAGGGAGAGAGAGTGGGGAGGAGGAGGAGGGAGTGGGAGCGAGGAAGAAGGAAGATCAAGTCTTTGCTTGACAGCATG